AGTATTATCTCACTGATATATCCGATTCTAGATCATATTATCTCGAGCTTCAAGTGTCATGTTTCCACTTGACATAGCATTTCGGGCCTTCGCCTGGGTATGTTGTTTTTACGTTTCAAGTGGTCTCCGAACCTATCCTTTGAACAGCAAGAAACCGACAATTTTCGGATCGGCCCGTTCCTTCACCTCCGTATCACAGCCCAATAGAACTTTCGATACTCGGCAACGGAAAAATCTCTGCAAAATTAACATTGTCCTTTTTCAATAATGACACAGGTGATTATTAACATTGCTGTTTTACGTACAGCGTATCGCCGAAGATAATTGATCTGTTTCAATATATTTAAACGATAAAATTTATCTACATAAAATTAGATTAAGTTCATAAATAATTTCATCGATTTTGAAATGAATCCAATAATACCGCAAGATTTCAAATAAATTGAAACCCAAGTGACGGCACGAAACGCTATGTCAAGTGCAAACGCATGAACCTTTCCTTCGATGGAACGGCAAAGAACCAAGAAATTTTTCGGATGGGTCCGTTGCCTCCGTTCCTTTGGAACGGCACACAGCAAAACGAAACTCCTCGCGTGTAGTGGCCCAGTCCTATTGCCTAACCGTTTCTATCAAGAAACGAAGAAATGTTGGCCGAGCCACAGCACGCCGTTGCATGCAACGAGGCAACGCCTGCCTATTCAAAAGGGTTCGGAACGGTGATACGATACGGGCGTTTGATACAGGTGGATACTCGGCTTAAGACGTCACGGTACGTCGATCATCGGTGACCGACATGGCAATCGACACGTTAATTTACCACTGGAAAAGTTAACAATTTATCAAGATAATGTTGCAACCTCTGTTTTTGACACGTGTCAAGAGGAGACTATTTAATCAATATTCGCAGTCTCTATTTAACAACCAGAGTTATATCATAGTTTTAGCTTACAGTAGCAGTTTTTCGCTACATTGTATTAATATAAAGGATGTTCCGCCATATGTTGTATAAACGGAAAGGTGGTAATTCTGCATGAAAAAATAGGTTGAAAATATAGGAGACAATTGTTTTATGCGAATTTTCATCGCCGAAAAATTGAAAAATTTTTTTAAGGCACGGTAAATGACAATTTCAATAATCCCTTTATTAATTCAGTATAATTAATGGACGTAATGAATGAATAAATATAATTACGTAACAGAGTGATGGAGGATGCTGATCAATAATTTACGTATTTTAACGGTATTAATAACTTCATTTATTAATTTAACACGTCCATTAATTAATTAATTAATAATGATTATTAAAATCGTTGGTAACTGTTTATCGCTTACTCGAGGCGATCGGGGCGAACAATGTTTCAAACTGTTGAGTTTATTAAACAACTTGAGGCAAAAAACGTAATTTATTAAATTAATTTGATTCTAAGAACGTCTCGATCGTCACCCTTCTAATATTCTCTTTTAAATAAGCTCTCAGATTTCCGAACTATTTATAAGAACAGATAAGGGTGTCGGACTGTCCAACTGTTTTTCTTACCAAGAGTTTAGTTCTGTTGCATCTTACGAAGTCTTTAGATGTACCTTCCATGAGATTTATAATAAAGTTCATTTTTCAATTTAAAAGTAAAGATACGGCCTGTTATTTATTTAATAATCATTTCCTAATACAAACTTTCAATCTTTCAGTTGAAGGGGAAAAGTAGCACTAGAATCCTTGAAAATCTGTGTGAAAGTCAAATCGCTTATGTTGCAATATAACAAGAGTTCACTGTATATAAAAAACTTTATTCTACATTTTTGACTTATTCTTACACCTAAACTCATCCCCTCCGTGATTTTACCATGACTTTCGGGACTCTCTATCAGAGTGTAACGTTTAAGTACGAATGGTCAAATATCTCGTAAAGGGTTAAAGCTATCCAAAAACTGTTTCTACAAAACTTGTTTAATTTCAGGAGGCACGTTATGTAGTGCAAATGATGTTCTGATAGGTGAAGTGGTGGAGGAGATTTTGAAACCAAAATAATTTTTTTAAATGGCACACTATTTTTCTATTTATAATATTGCTATGGGTGTTGAGACGAATTCAACGACCTACTACATTGCATCATTCCATTAGTCAGAACCATACATTTTTGCGATTGAAGTAGCATCAGTGTGCACGGAGAACGTTGGCTGCAGCGCGCCACCTCAAAGGGGGATTGCTTCACATCATGCGACTGAATTTTATTTGAGAAGGCAAAAGCCAAAAGATTTTAAAAAAATGCAGTTTTTCTTGGGGTGATATTCTGCAATATCCTCGAAGGCAGTACATACGAATTACTTTCAAGAATTGTGATTGCGACAGAAAAAATATCAGAAACAACATTAATAAGTGTAGAAAAGGAATTTCGAAAAAGACTGCAAAAGTCTATTTTCAACGACGGCAGACACGTTGAAGAATAAGGTAAATAAAAAACTATTTAATAAATAATTATTACTACAAATCCATCAATAGAAAGAGAAAATTAATGTTGTAGACATGTTTGATTGGAAAATATAAGGAATCTGTTAAATAGATAGGATTTATTGGACTAGATAGGATTACAAGGTTTAGGATACAGTTTCTTTCATTTATTCGTACACAACATTCTACGGTGAGTGTTCCGACCGTTCGACGGAACAGATGTACGAGAATTTCTAAAGGGAGTTTATGACAGTTCTTCGACGAAAAGCTATTTTTGAGTTTAGACATTTTAGCATTTCCGGGCAATAACCGTTTACCTTTTTTGAACAATAGAATCCGATTTTAGTTTTCGTTTTCGTCCTCAATAGCTCCGCTCATGTCATAAACTGGGTTTTCCGAAGGGTAAATTAAAATTTCGGTATTTTGTAACGGTACCCCAGCCTTCGAGGGTCAACCTGGATGGAAAAACCCCGGCGTAGCCGGACTTTCGAGGTGCTCGTGCACTCACCGACATCGCCCCACCCTCTCTAGACGAAGACGCGCTAAGGGCGCTAGAGAGGGTGGGACCAATTTTCAGGGGGACACGCCGATTGGAATTTTGACTTTTCGTAGGAAAACCAATTAACGCGTTGTCCCCCAACTCGACATTTCCAAGAGAGATGATATAGAGGCGTTCGTAACTCGACGAGGGCACTTCGGCTCCTACTTCTTCTTGTTCTTACAAGTTTTCGGTAACTAGAAAAGGAATAATAACTGCGACATAGCCATCGTTTCGGGCACGTTTTTTTTTATCATCTGATCTCATCGTCTTTTCGGAGACCAGAATAGACAATTAATTAATGGAAATTAATTTTGAAATTAATCCGACGTTTCGGGCAACCCACGAAATTGCCACGAGTCACGACAGTGAGCTCCATGCTTATATTTCTCCCGTTCGATAGGCGTCCAGGTATTATCGCCGTACTCTCCGTGTCGGTCGAGCGTCCAGGAACAGGTCTCCCGTACTCTCCCTTCTTCCGGTAGGCGTCCAGGATTTGACGCCGTACTTTCCTGTCGGAGTCCCTAACCTGTCGACCAAGAGCGGTCGATGGTCTTATCTCGTCCTCTCTCTCGACTAACAACAGGCAAATTAGGCCGAGTTAGGGTTCGGCAACTACCAATAATTTTTTTGGCTTTTCAGTTTTAGTTCCTTGATGACGGACAGTATGTAGATAGCGCTACTACGATGACAATCAGCGCCGCCTACATTGGCGTTGATTGGCGTCATTTGGCGTGGTTTGGCGTCATAGCGTCATAGCGTCCATTTTGGTGGAGTCCAAATAATTAATAATTATTAATTTATTATCGTATCCCTACAGGTGGCTGCTTTAAATCACAAATTTATGATTTAAAGATAAGAAATCAGCTAAATCATAAATCTCTGATTTTTAGCAGTCACTTTATGACTATCCAAAATTTCGTATTCTATATATATACATATATATATCAGTCTGAGAAATACTATATATATCAGAGGCATATACTTATATATATATGTCTACTTTTAGTACACTCGTGACGGATGGTTAGTAGATGGCGCTACAGTCAATGCTAGCCTTTTTGTAGAAGGGAGTTTCCGACCCCTGGGCCGAGTCGATCGTGAGCCCTTAATTTATATCCATTCATTGTTATCCGCGGCCACCGTAATCAACGATCGCGTCGTTAAGAATGAATTTGGCGTTTTCCGCGCTCGCGTTTCGCGTCTCCGCTCGCGCCTCGCGTTTCTGCCTCCCGCGATAGACTATAATTGACTTTTTTTCGAAATTGTCTGGACGCTTCTAGACCGCGTCGTTTTCGCAAAGTTTCTTTTTTACCGTTGATACAATGTCCATTAATAATTGCCTCAACTAATTTTTAATTTTGTTTTCTATAGCATCAATATCCTCCCATAGTATTTGGGTAAAATCTGATTCCACCTAACACAAGAAAATAACACTCAAGCGATATGAAGCAACCTTTGACTGCAGCCAACGTTCCCTGTGCACACTATGCAACTTCAATCGCAAAAATTTATGGTTCTAACTAATGGAATGATGCGATGTAGCAGGTCGTTGAATTCGTCTCAACGCCCACTGTAATATTATAAATAGAAAAATACAGGGTGCCATTTAAAAAAATTGTTTTGGTTTTAAAATCTCCTCCACCACTTCACCTATCGAAACATCATTTGCACCACATAACGTGCCCCCTTAAATCAAACAAATTTTATAGAAACATTTTTTGATAGCTTTAACCCTTTACGAAATATTTGACCATTCGCACTCAAACGTAACACCCTGCAAATAAATAAATAATAATAATTATGAAATAGATCATTTTAATACTTTTACCACCTTTTCTTTCTCCTTTTCCCACGCACTACCGCGTGGCCGAAAATGTCGAAAATGTTAATATTAATAGCCACTCAAATATTGGTTAAAATAAAACTTAATAGTCATATTTATATAAATATATTAATTTTAAGAAACTATCATCTTCCTTGACAGTAATTATACTTTATTCAAATGATGTTTAGGTCGTCAGGGTACTGAAATTAAATTTAAATCCGATGGCGATGCATATGGATTTTATAACATCTACCAATATCAAAGGAACAACGACGGACGTTTTGATTATGTTCTTATCGGTACATGGAGAGAGGAGTAAGTACCCGAATATTTTAATACAAATATATGATCGAATATGCAGTAAAACCTGGATAAATGCAACGAAAGAATGCTTGGATAAGTGCAACATCGCTATCCCCTCCACTTGGGGGGATCCCCCTAGGCGAACCGAGCCGCTCGACGAGGAAACCGTGTAATATGATCCGACCGTAATATCGGTGTGACTAATACTAATTGAACGATAAACCTTTTTTATTTTTAACTTTTTCTTAATGAAACGTTTACTAACGCATTTGTGAGATTTTTCTGATTAAAATGACACCAAACACGATATAGTTTGAATTATATTTATTTATTAACATAATAATAAAAGGATAATAAAAAATAATAGTGTACATTATAATAAATATTGTAGTATTCTAATTAAAATGATACTAAACACGATATAGTTTAAATTATATTTATTTATTTATTTATTTAGAATATGCTGCTGAACTATTGACTGCTGAAGTGCTTTATGATGTTAGGAAATGTCCGTGATTTCTATGAAACCGGACAGTATCTTCCTATTGAAAATTAAAGTAATTTACAAGCTAAAAATAATAATAGAATAATAATAGAATAAATAAACAATAGTAATAGAATAAACAACATAGAATTGACACCACGACTGAATATAAATGATGTGTACGAACGCAGAATCGATATGTCGGCTGAATACAAAAGATGTGTACGGACTCAGAATCGACACCTCGCTTGGATAAATGCAACATTTAAATGCCCAGAATCGACACCTCGCCTAGATAAATGAAACCTTTGAAAACACAGAGCCGACACGTCGGCTGGTTTTGGTTTCGACTCTCTTGCCTTTCGCCAACTTTTAACATCAATTTTAGCAAGTAATTATAATTCAAACTATATCGTGTTTGGTATCAGTTTAATAAACAAAATGTCATCAATCCGCTGGTAAAAGTTTCATTAAAAAAAAGTCAAAAATAAAAAAGTTTTATAGTTGAATTAGTATCAGTCACACTGATACGTTCCGGCTTTTTCCTTTGATCATTGGGCCTCTCTCTCTTTCCCCACTGTCTGTCTCTTTCTACGTTCACGCTTGGCTGGGGTCGCCTGTAACCCGAGATTCGACAACTCGCTTGGATAAATGCAACCACTGAGTCCCAATCTCGGTTGCACTTATCCTGGTTTTACTGTATTTATTAATTTATTTCTTTTGAATTTTTGTAAAATCTAATTAATAAGAATAAGGAATTTACGAAATATTTTTGAAAACTTTGAGATCGGTTGTGGAATCGGTGGCGGTGAGAGGTATGCGAGGTTGAGTTGTACATACATATACAGTAAAAGCTGGTAATATGCAACAAACATTGGGACCCAGACGTTGCATATATCCAGTCGTGGTGTTTAATTTCGGGTTACACGCGACGAGCAGCCAAGCGTGAACGTAGAAGAGGACAGACAGTGGTGAAAAGAGAGAGGTCCGATGATCAAAGGAAAGAGCCGAAACGTATCGGTGTGACTAATACTAATTCAACTATAAAACTTTTTTATTTTTGACTTTTTTTTACTGAAACTTTTACTAACGCATTGGTGAAATTTTTCGGATTAAAATGATACCAAACACGATATAGTTTGAATTATAATTACTTGCTAAAATTGATGTTAAAAGTTGGCGAAAAGCAAAGGAGGATTGGAAATGAAAACCGGTTGTCGGCTCGGGTTTCAAACGTTGCATATATCCAGCCGAGGTGTCGATTCTGGGCATTTAAACGTTGCATATATCCAGTCTTGGTGTCGATTCTGCGTCCGTACAAATCGTTTGTACCGTGCCGCGATACCTATTCTACGTTCGTACACAACATGCGACGTGTAGCATGTTGCATGTTTGACGCATCTTTGGTGTACCGTCTGCCTTATGTTTGGTATCATTTTAATCAGAAAAATCTCACAAATGCGTTAGTCAAAGTTTCATTAAGAAAAAGTTAAAAATAAAAAAGTTTATCGTTCAATTAGTATTAGTCACACCGATATTACGATCGGATCATATTACACGGTTTCCTCGCTGAGCGGCTCGGTTCGGTTTAGGGGGATCCCTCCAAGTGGCGGGGATAGCGATGTTGCATATATCCAGCCAAACTTTCGTTGCATATATCCAGCTTTTACTGTAGGTGTGGGTGAAAAAGAGAGAAAAAGAAAGTGGGAAATAGATGTAGTCACAGAAAGAGGTAGAAAGATGCAAAAAAGGTTGGAAGAAGTAATTGAAGAAAGGGTAGGGATATAAAGAAGAAAAGAGAGTGTGAAGAAGGCGTAGCTGGGTGAGGTTAGGAATAGAGTGAGAGACAAGAAGCCGTTGATAGCGGGAAGAAGTGAATCGAAGTGAGAGACATCTAGAGAAAACGAGAGAGAGAAGGGTGTAGGAGAGGTCGGTAAGGTCAGTAAAGAAGGAGAAAGGAGAAAGGTATTTAATATTACCAGAGAATGGAAAAGAGTAAGGATGGGAGAAAACAGAACAAGGAAGAGAAGAAGCAGGGAGAACGGATAAGGGAGAAAGAAGGAGTAGACCGACGAATGTGGAGATGATGAGGAAAAAAAGGAGTATAAGTGTGGGAAGTATGGTGAGCCTAGAGGAAATGTAGAAAAGGAAGAGAGAAGAGGGAGCAGATGAAGAGGAGGTGGGGGAAAAGGCCGGGGGGATGAAAAGTCAGGAGCGTGGGTGGATGTTCAAGGAAAGCAAATTGGTGGAAAGATTTCCGAAAAAGAAGAAAGAGAGAAACGTAGAAGAAGGAGAATAGGGGAGATAAAAGATATGATTAAATAATTAGGGGAGAGGATGGAATCAAATATGAGAGTGCTAGGGAAGGAGCTGGGAGGGGAGATAAATAAGTTAAAAGAGGAAATGAAAAAAAGAAAAGATAAATGAATGGAACAGAAGAGGGATATGGAAAGGAAAATAGAAATTTTAAGGAAGAAAGTAGAGGAGTTGGAGAGGGGGGTGAAGGAGAACGCAAGGTGGAAGGAGCTGAATGAGAAATCAAATAGATAGAGCAAGCGACAGAAGGGAAAAGAAAGGGGGAGGTATGTGAGGAAATATTAGGGGAAAGAGTGAGAGTACTAGAAAGGAAACTGGAGTGGAAGGAAAAAGAGGAAAAGAAGAAAAATATAATAATTAAGGGAATAAAAGCAACAAGAGAGGAGATTAAAGAGAGAACGGAAGAGATTTAAAAAATAATTGGGGTGGAAGAGGCAATAGAGGAGACAAGAGCGGTGGGGTATATAGAAGATAGAAAGGAAGTGAATATGGTACAGATGAAGTTAAAGTCGACGAAACACAAAAGAAGAGTGATGGAAAAAAAGAAGGCACTAAAAGGTAGGGGAAGAATACAAGAAGATTTGACATAGAGGGAAAGGAGGATACAATGGAGGTTAAGGAGAATAGCGAAGGAAGAAAGAGAGAGAGAAAAAATGTGTTGGTAAACTATGGGAAAATAAGAATAGAGGGAAAATGGTGGAGATGGGAAGAAGAAAGAGAAAATCTAAGAGACTGGGAGGGAAGAGAGTGGCGTCAAAATTAGGGAGAGAACTATAGCCAGGAGGAAGAGGTGTAAGGGATAAGAGAGGAGGAGAGAAGACAAAAAGCAGAAAAGGAGAAAAGAAGGAGCAGGGGCGAAAGAGGACAGAATGGGCGGAGGAGAAAAGAGAGCAGGAGAGAAAAGAAGAAAGAGGGAGAAGGGAGAAAAGATGACGAGAAAAAAGAAAGGGGTTAAGAAAATAAGGGTGGTGGAAGAGAGACCTGAATGGGTGGTAGGATTTTGGAACTGCGCCGGTGTTAGAAACAAAGACGAAGATTTTTGGGAAACGATAAAGAAATGGGATGTGGTGGTGCTAATAGAGACATGGTTGGAGGAGAAGGGATGGAAAAAGACGAGAGAAAAAGGATACCCAAAGGATATAGGTGGGAGGCACAGCTGGCTGAAAGAAAGAATAGAAAGGAGAGGGCAATGAGGGGATGCTAATAGAAGTAAAAGAGAATATGATAAGAAAGGAAGGAAGGATAATAAAAGAGGAGGGAAGAGAGAGCTTCATAGTATCGGAATTCAATGAAGGGGAAGAGAAATGGAGAGTGGTGGGGGTGTACGTGAACGGAGATATGGAAGCAAAGATGAAGGAGCTGAGAAATTGGATGGGAGATATCGGAGGAGAAAGGAAGACGATTGTTATTGAAAGGAAGCGATTTCAACGCGAGAACGGGGGAGGAGGGAGGTGGAGAAATATGGGCAGAAGGAGGAGAAGAAGAGGGAAAAAGAAGCTCAAAAGACAGAAAACAAAACGTCGAAAGGAGAGAGTATTGTTGAAGGGTCTAAGGGAGACGGGATGGATGATACTGAATGGGGGACGAAAAAAGAGAATTTACACATACAGGAGCAAGAGGGGACACGGTGATAAACTATATACTAGTGGATGGCGAAAAGAAGGAGAGAGTCAAGGGAATGGAACTAGAGGATAAGATTGATTCAGATCACCATCCACTGATAGTGAAACTGGAAGGTGGGGACAAGGAAAGAAAGAGAGATGGGTAGAGAAGAAGAATGGGGACGAAAGGAGATTGGTCGGCACAGGGAAGGGAGAAATTCAAGAATGAGATAGTATGGAAGAAGACGGAGAAAGGAAAAATAGTGGATGATATGGGGACGAGAGGAGATTGGTCGGCACAGGGAAGGGAGAAATTCAGGAATGAAATAGTATGGAAGAAGACGGAGAAAGGAAAAATAGAGGATGATATGGAGATAATGCTAGAAGAATTTAGAAAAGGGTTAAAGAGAGGAAGTGAGGTAGGTGCTGAGGAATTGGAGAAAGGAGAAGATGGATGGGGAAAGCTACAGAAAGGCGGAAAGGGAATATAACAGGTCGTGTGAAGATAACAAGAAGGAAGAAAATGAGAAATTCATGAGAGAGGCGGAGAGAGCTAGAACGAAGAGAGAAGTGCGAGAGATAATAAAGAGAGGAAGAGGAGAATGCAGATT